CTCTCTCTCTCTCTCTCTCTCTCTCTCTCTCTCTCTCTCTCTCTCTCTCTCTCTCTCTCTCTCTCTCTCTGTGTGTGTGTGTGTGTGTATCTGTGTGTGTGTGTGTGTGTGTATGACGCATTGTGATGAGCGTCCTGCTGTTTCTTTGACATGTGGACAACATGTCCTCTGTCAGGACTGTTTTGATGGGATGGTTCGTGCTAGCCGTCCTGCTGAATGCTGTGCTAGCGCAGCTCTCCTTGGGTATCCTTGTGAACATCCACATCATCCTCACCGTAGCTGTCCTATCTGCCGAGGCGGGGACAGATAAACCCTTCGACACTACCCACAGATACGGAAAACGAAAATAAGAAAATAAGAAAAAATATATATATGTTGATCTGTGGGATGTGTTATTTGCTTTGTGGCAATTGGATTATCCGTGGGATGTGTCATTGGATTATCTGTGGGATGTGTCATTTGCTTTGTTTGACGGATAGGCTTTCTTTCCCTGTCAGGTTTGGTTTCCTCCTCCTTTTCTTTACCCCTTTGCCTTTGGCTGCGTGCAAGTGGGTCCTTGTGACATACGGGGATGGGGGCAGCCAGCGCTCAACCTGTCATCCACGTGGCTGGCCTTGTCCGTAAGAGGTGATGAACAGGAGGGGCTCTCCTTCCTTACTTATTTTCCTTTTCTTGTTTTGTCTTTTTCCGCCTTTGCGCTCCGATTCACAGTGTGACAATATATATCACGCAAAAAAGAAGGAAAAAAGAGAAAAAAAACGGAAAAAAGATCGGGCCACATAGCGCGCCTTTAACCTTCCCCCCTCCCACTTCCCCCTAACCCTCCCCCTCCCGTTTAGCAAGCAAAGAACGGAAAGTTCCCTGTACACACACTCACCTGCTGAAAAAGTAAATGTGATTAGCGATGCTGGTGTCCAGACTCAGCTGGCGGTCTCCTGCCGCTTCCGACAGAGGCTGCGTTTTCGATTCCTCCTTCAATGCTGCCTCTGCATTTTTATATCCCTTCCTCTTCAAATACGCCAACACAATCCGATCGTAGTCCTCCTCCTTCATCTTGACAGCTTCTCGGTGTCCACCTATAACCTCTTCTTTCCCCTTCACACGATGGGTTACCCGCCTCCGCTCCCTCACTCCGACTTCGCGTCTTTCTCAGTTACCTCCACCTGCGTCCCTCCTTTTCTTCTACTTACTTCTCCCTATTCCTCCGCCTTCATACCCCCACCATGTTGGTCTCTCTCTCTCTCTCTCTCTCTCTCTCTCTCTCTCTCTCTCTCTCTCTCTCTCTCTCTCTCTCTCTCTCTCTCTCTCTC